TTTTTTTTTTTTTTTTTTTTTTTTTTTTTTTTTTTTTTTTTAAATGTTTGCGTTCGGAGAGTTTCGACGCTCGTTCGCCAATCCCGAACGTTCAGGTTCGGTCACCGAACCCGAACACGATGCTACACAGCCCAAATCTACCTTATGGAAGGCGATTTTGAAAGTCTGGAAGAACCTCCACTAATCGTCCTCACAAGCCCGAGCACGAAGGAAGTGGTCTTGGCTCAACCGCTCTTTGGAAACTAAAACACTCGTGCAAGAAACGATTCCTAGTTCCCAACAGATGGTTCAACAACAACCTTCGGACTCAGTTTGCTCACCTCACTCCAGCTTCCCAAGGGCGCTCCAATGGCAAATATTGTACAACTGGTTGCCGACTCCGGCATCGATTACGTCGAGGTCACAACTGGAGCAGCAAAGAGTGCTATCCCCTATATGCTCCTACTGTGGCTCCTCAACTCAACCGCAGGTAGCAGATCTGGAACACTGCCTTCTTTACTGGCCCTAGCGAGGCAGATATGGCGGTGGAGGAGTGCGGCATGGGCTCCCGTGGGACCTAGCAGTCCTGCTCCTTGGTCATTTGGTAAAGATCCCCTCCTCGTGGTCCCCTTTCCAAACCTCTTCCGCTATACACGATTAGAGGTTCTCATCACAGCATGGCGAGCGCGCTGCTCCCACGAATACAAAGAGCACACATTTGGGTTCCACCAGGCCAGGCAGCACATTATAGACACAATCAGGTGTAACATCCACGGAGCCTGCGTGCAACTTAAAGACGCTCTATCCACAGCAGACAACAGGGCCCGATGACAAGAGCTGACAGATGCCTACACAGAAGCGTGACTGGACCCAGACCGCAAATTGCCTGACCTTGACGACACACAGCAGCTCCGCTGGAAACTGTGGTGGCAGACTGAAAGACAATGGAAGCGGAGACCGCTGTCGGTGTTTACATGCCCTTTGTCGGGCCTGCCCGTCACCACGGTTCTAGCAGACGGCCAGTCACCTCAACCTGCAACACATACCCCCCCCCCACCATCACCTCGTCCTCCCCCCATCTCACCCACCAATGCCAACCTCTCCGCCCCCCCCAACCTGTCTCTTATACACATCTAGATGTGTATAAGAGACAGTCCTAATACTGGATTTAGAAATTATAATTTTGTCAGTAGTCCGAATTATGTAGCTTTCACAGAGAGTGGGCCAGGCCGCCTTCCTTGCTCCCATTCCCTTCACTCATGCTTCATCTCAGGAGGCTGCACAGACCGACATGATCAGCTTGCATGGGGGGAGATGGCTCTTGAAATGG